GCTCTTCATGAAAAACGGCCTCCGAGTTCACCTCCACAAGAGGGATCTGGGAGCGATCGTGGAGAGTATAATGGCGGAGAGAGACGCCGGCAAATGCGATGGCGTCTGCGTTTAAACCCTACAGTGTCGTCGTTTCATATTTAGTCCACGGTTTGATTGCCTCTTCTAGCTTTGATTTCATATCCATACTTAAAATTTTTGTTTCAATTGGTATACTTTTGTGGGCGGTTCAATTTGGAAGTAGAAATCAAGACAAAGTTGTAAGCTTTTTAGTCCAAATAAATATACTGTTTTTCTTTCTATATACAAAAAATAAACATAAAATTTTTATATATGTGTGAGAGAGATAAAGAGAGAGTGTGAGAGACTGGTGGCCATACGGGCACTCCATATACTCGGGTATTTTACTCCAATGACACAGTTGGTGGCAGGAATTTCAAGGTTACACTACCAAAAACATAACCTATTAATTTTGTTTAAAAAGACAATATTACCCTTAATGAAATCGTGTAATTTGTTCGCTCGAAAATAACTTTGTTATTGCGACTTCATAATTAATTCTAAATAGAATTGTAATTGATTCTAAATAAGGTGACAAAAAATTTATCAATCAAATTTTAAAAATAACTACGTTTTTGTTTGCACTTTCATCTTCGTACGACTATAACTACTACTTATTTTAGTTGTATATTAGTTATATGTTAGTCGTAATAAAGTCGCAAAAAAAAAAGATATTTCGGACTTTTTCAATCGAGAAGTGGTATAAAAGTTGAAAAAAAAAATTGTTTTTTTGTGGTGTACCAGCGAAATTCGTGCGATCCAAGTGGATCATTTGAGTAAAATGCCCCATATACTCTCCTTTTTTTTAATAAGGGATTTAAAACTTTGAATTACATCACGCAATGACAATGACGAGGGATTGTAATTCCAATCTTATCAACATAAAGTAACTCAGATATACAGACGGGAGAGACTCAAAAGACCGTCAAACCGATAGGTAGATTATGTTCCATAGAGACGAATTGATCGGAACACCGAAATTCAGTTCACGAAATGTACGAGAAACTGAAACTGTACACTGTCTCGCACATATATCCTGTATTGACTTTATATAATTGAGTCATCCACTCTGTTCGAACTTTGGATAGCATTTACTAACGTTTGGTTATATTCCTGTATGAACTAGCGTGGTATATATCACTCACTGCATAGCTAGCGTGGCCCAATGTCTTGGTGATTTGAATATCCGAACCCTGTCGGCAACATGACTTCGTTGTCTTTGTCGGATCCATATTTTGGGCCGCCAATAGAACTTGCTGGAGAATACCGAGAGTGATCTAATAATGTTCGACAGCGTCACAAGTCCACGAGCGGATCAAATGCTCAATACAATAAGGATCGATACTTGTGGTGGGCATAGCTAAAGCATGGACCGCCAATAGCCTTCTTGTCGAATGTCATGGATTAATAACTTAGCAACACACACAGACAATGGCCTACACATAATTATATATTTGATAATAACCCTGCTGATCCAATAATGCATAAAAAAATTAAACTTGTTCAAATCACATAATCTCCTTTTTTTTATGTCTAACGACCGAAACAGTTTGTAATTAAAGTTGAGAATTGGGGGGCAAAAATATGCAACCAGATAGTAAAAAAAAAAAAAACCACCCTGTTCTCTCCATCACTTCTTGGAGTTGTACATAGACTCGACTTTGCCGTCGTTACCACCGAGCAACATGTACTTATCCTTGCGAGTGAGATTGGTGCATTCGAACCCCAAGACGCTGCCGATTAGCTTCTGCACGTGATTGGCCACCTCAATGGACGTCTTTCCTCCACCCTTCACTGTCATTTCCTCCGGCAACCGGTCCAAGAAGGTGGCCTCGTAGCTCGGCCTCGGGTTCATGAAGAAGAAGTATGGGTCCCAGAACTTAACCCCTCTCACCGTTGTCCCGTTGAACATGTTCTGTTTGCAGTTCACCGCCACCGGCACTATCCTGTCGCTTAGCTCAGCGAACAAAGCGCTGAATCTCAGTAGATATGGTTCTCTGCACGTCGTGCCTTCTGGGCATATCACGAGATCACCTGTTATATATAAACGCACCCATAACGTATAAACCAGAGTCAGTTAACGTATGATATTTGATGGGTATAGTTCATCTACTGGTGTAGAAGGGGACCTTTCTCGAGGAGTTCCTTGATACGGGCGGCGTCAACGGCTCGGTCGCGGGTCAAGGCAACGGTGGGGATGGGGGAGAGAAAGCGGGAGAGGCGGGAGACGCTGTAGGAAACGCAAGAGACTTTGCGGCCGAGGGCAATGGCGATGATGATGGGGTCGAGAGCGGTGCGGTGGTTGACGATGTAGAGGTTGCCGGGGGAGCCAGGGGACGGAGGAGGAGGACGGTGGCCGCGTATGGTGAGGTGGATCCCGAGGATTTCGTAAGTGTAGCGGACAAAGCGTTCGGGTAAAGGGAGGTTGAAGTAGACTCGGAAGATGGAGAGCGGGAATCCGAATGGGAGCCATAGGTAGGTGATGAGGGCGTTGAGAGGGGTCGGACGTTGAACAAGTCGACCGTCGTGGAATATTATTCGGTTCTTGATGCGGTCTTGTGGAATTCTTGACGCTGACTTGGTCGAGTGCACCATGTATCCTTCCTGTTTTTTCGTGGAGGAATCGCAAGGTTTAGTCCTTGTGGAAATATATAATATATAGTATACCGTATTTCTTTTACACATGTCAAGTGATTATAAGATGACGAAGTACAAATAACCGTGAATCCAACCAAACCAGGTCAAAAGAAGCAGAGCAAAACAAATAATAACGCAAGATTGGTTAAACTATGGATATGCGTCTCGAGACTAGACTTAATTTACCTCCCATATCTTTGCTAAAAAAAAAAAACACGTTCAGCAAGTGGGCCGTGATGACGTGCAAGCTTCTTGATTAGGCCGACAAAATTTAAGAATTGCTTTGAATATTCACATATTGGCTCATTAAATGGACCGCCCAAGTTATGGGTGGTGGGTAGTTGGGAAAAACAAAAAGACAACAGAAGAAAAAAAAAGATCACGATAGGCTGTAACATTTATGGACGCTATCAAGATGGTTCACACGACTGTTTCCATTTGACTTTTTCGACAAAACCCAGTGAAACAAGAAGCTCTGGTTATGTTAGCAAAGACACGCAAGTAATTAATTACTGCAACGCAACATTACGTGAGCTCCATGCAAAGAAGAAAACGATCGCACGTCACTTCAACCTAACCTAAACCCTTTATCTTATTCTCCCTCTTCATATCATATGTGATCGATCGAATCGAGCCCATATACGCCCTATTCATAAACGTCTCTTAACCACTTTATTATGGGGCTAATCTGGATTATCATGCTATGAGTTCATATAATCAAGGTCTTTTATGATTTCATATATACATGTATCTAAACGTGAATATAGACAATCAATGATGCAAACCCACGAGATCATCTGGACTTGAAACAATACCTTGCAAATGGACATGAAATCGTGATCGGAGGTCCGGTCACCGATTCCGATGTCTGGAGACTCGTCGCCAAACTCCTTCAAGATGGCTAGTCTCTTCAAATCTCCGACGAGGACCCCGGGTTTCTTCACGAACCCGGTGGCCTTCTTCGTCTTGGGGTTCACCTCAATCTCTGTTCCCAAAACCTTGTCTCCTCCCAAAAAATCCTTCACGAACGGCTCCACCATCACTGTCGGATTCGCCGTCACCACCACCTTCCTCTTACACCTATCGAACACCTCGAAACTGTCCTTCCTCACGTCCGCCGCGTAAAATCTACAACATAATTGGTTTCGACCAGAAAAATCAAAACTCGAATCTGAATCTGAAACAAATCAAAATTCAAATTCCACCCTGAAAAGTTTTGAATATATATGGATAATGGATTTGAGGTCGAATATATACCTTGGAAGAACGGCGCGAGAGACGAGTTCGATGTCTCGGATTTTGACGCCGGAGAAGGAAATGAAGATGAGGATCTGAATCCCGAGGGATTCAGAGACGAATAGGTAAGAAATGATGACGATCGGGAGAGAGAGAAGAAGGATAAAGCCCCGGAGGAGGCTACCGGCTTCAATGGCGACGAGCATGAAGTAAGGGAAGGAGCTTCTCGAGAGAAGCAGAGTCCCGTCGAGATCGGCGGCGATGGAACCGTACTCTACTCCGCCGCACTCCGTTATCGGAGGGAAACTTCGGCTCTTCTTCTCCGGAGACATGTTTACGAGGCCAAGGTCTCTCTCTCTCTCTCTCTCTTTCTCGAGTAGCGGGTTTAGTGCGATGAGAGCAGAGGAATGTGGGGGGGAAAGAGAGGGAACGTTGGGTTTTAAATGCATTTTAGTTGATGACGAAATTACCAAAAAAGGCTTCCTAATCGTTCTATTTCTTTCGGATTGATCCTTAAACTTTCTTCTTTGACCAAATCAACCCCAACAAAAAAGCTTCCAACTATAAAAAAACACAACACGGGTTTGCATTAAAAGTTGCCAATAATTATAAAAAATAAACGCAGTTGGTTTGTTTGATTTGGATCCTACGGCTAGATACAATTAATATTTATCTTCTATATAAAAAAAAAAATACTTGTCACGCAATTTAACTATAATCCATTTTTGTAAACTAAATCAAAACTTTCAGGCCATCAATATATCAATACGTATGATCAAATTTTTTACAATTTATACAAAGTAATTTAAATAAAATTTGTATGACCTAAACATTTGCTTATGTTATTTATATGTTTGGTTATATTCCAACATTTGTTTACATAGCACACAAGTAATATAATGAGCATGTATGGATATGGACCAGTCACATACAAACGAAAAAAATATACAAATTATACTTTCCACGACAATATTGGATAATATTATTGTGACAATAAAGAAGGTAGCTCAGCAGCTCACCTAATTAGAAGGCCGTATAATTAAATGAATAAATTATATGTGTAGAGGAAAGTGTAGGGCACATGGTGAAGTTAATATATGAAAATGACTCGGCGGTTGCCTCTCTATTTTCTATTTAGGTAAGACTAGAGACAAGCATTAGTGACAAATAATATAAACTAATGTAGCTAGAATTTCCGGCAAAATGAATAAATTATTTTGCATTTTATTTATTAAGAAAAACGAATCTTCATAGTAGAGTTGACAGTTTTACTCTAGACACAATGTCCAAAAGGAAATAATAGTAAAATTGCGTATGGTTAGGAGGAGGGAGTTGGGCCAACCTTAGCGTTTAGAAATGCATGCGCCCTGTGTTGGCGTTTATTATATGGTAATTAAATTTTGTCTCGGTTAATCCACCAAACTTATGCAAAAACGTATATACTACTGTATACGTAGAACTAGTACGTGGATGCATACGTATCTACGTATCTATGAGAAGTGATGTTTAGGTTTTCTTTACAAAATTGCAGTGATTTTATATCAAGTTATCAACCATGTGGACCATTTATCTCTCTCTCTCTCATAAGAGATTTAAAATCAACGTGATTGTTATTATTATACGGTGCAAAGGAAACTAAAAGGATAAACATTTAATACGAATAACGGTAAATTCACACACACACATAAATGAAAAATATGCAATCCCAAAAATCATACAACAAAAAAAGGAGGTGTATAATATATTAAAGGGGTGCTTTTATATATATATATATATATATACATATAAATTTTGGGCCGTCAGTTCCCAAATGGGGTGACGTTGGTTAACTTAGAGCCTAATGGGCCGAGGTTAGTTTGGGTTTAAAATCGGGCCTACAAGTGTTTGCATGCAGACCAATGGCTTTTCATATCTCAAATTGAAGGCCCATTAATGTTTTTCTCTTTCCTAATCCCTGCTGTGAAGAAGGGTATTTGAGTCAATTAAATTCAAAACACACACTTCATTTCATTCGTACATTATACGGTGTCGTTTCACATTTCATAAAAGCGTGTCTTACTGTGTTTTTTTTTTAACCTTGGAATGAAAATAACGACAAATACAAGTGACTCACCATGAAACACAGGTGATAGGCAAATAAGCTAATATCATCCTCAGAACATGTAGCCGTCGTGGGGGAAGGGGGAAGAAGCTCCGTGGTATAATTTGTTAGTAGCATTAGTCTCCCTGAGATAAGCCCTAGTGATCTCCACGCTTAAATCAGGGTTCCTCCTGGCAAAAGTCTCGTATTTCATCGGTACAACCACTTCTTCCATTCGTTTCACGATCAAGTCGAGGGCTGCGTCCTTCAGGACCGTGTCCGAAGGGATACTTGCGAGCTCGAGAACGTCTAGAACGTTCCTCGAGCTCAGCTCCGAGATAAGGTGGTGCCTGCAACGTTCTTGCAGATACGGGATGTCGTATTTATCTGCCGCTAGATAGAGGGCCCGGATGTGTTTGTAAGCGGTGTTCAATTCCCCGCTGTAGAGGAACTCGACAAGTGGTTTGAGTTCTTCATATTTCAAGTCGGGGAGAATGATCGAGTCCCCTTCTGAAACCTTGCATTCATCAGAGTCCAACATGTTCCTCAACACCGTTGATCTCGCCGCCTGATACAATATAAGGCAGTATAAGTTTTCCGGCTTCGTTGTCTGTAACGAACTACTTTCCCCAAACTCATGCCAACGCTTCTAGGTCCAAAGCAGATAGATGCATAGCATTTGCTAAAAGATGCAAGTGAGATCAAGAGTCCCGAACGGGTTATTTGACACGTTTGATGGATCACAAAACCAAAACCGAGACCCCAAGAATCACGAACCGGGTTATTTGACTCGATTGATGGATCACAAAACCAAAACCGAGACCCCAAGAATCCCGAACCGGGTTTATTCGGATGTCAGACAGATTCATCATATTATCCGATCATAGCATAAAAAAAAAAATTAATCTTGGTGTAGGGAGTGTCTACTCAGATCATCAGTAAGCAACTAGAATAACGAGACGACAAAAGATTGGATAGATAGGTTTGAAGAGAGAGGGTTTGTTACCAGAACGGCTTTGTGGGCGGGTAAGGCAGGGCCGTCATCACCAGGCTTGACGAGAACATCGGTGTGGATATGTTCTTTGAATGCCACAACAAGATCACCGAGGAAAGCCGCCTTTGCTGCTGTTTCTGCCATTTCTTCAAATGCCCTGCTCCACACAATCCTCCATTATCACAAGTTTAGAATATCAGTTGGCGAGTCCTGGAAACCCTAGAGTACAATCACCAACTCAAACACAATTGGATGGATCGACAAGATATAGCGCTGAAATGAAAATCCCAGACTCCTAAACCCTAGATCCTTAAGTCACAAATGGAATGTAAGCTTCTCTGATGAGCTTTGAAACTCGAGAATCTAAAATCAGACGACTCCTGGACCGACGATCATCCTAAAATTAAGTCACAGGATGCGAAACCGGAGTGGGAAGATCAAACAACAGGAACCAAGTGAATAAGAGAGAGAGAGAGAGAGAGAGAGAGAAGAGAGAAGCGATCGCATGACAATTGAAAGAATAAAGACAGAAAGAAACTCACTCGGGTCTCTGAAGAAAGCTCTCTCGCCTCTAGTCTTGGAGAGACAGAGATGCAGAGTTTCCTTTGTTTCTGTCTTATGATTTTCGCCCCCTTTTCTCCTTCGCAGGGAAGCACAACGTCGCTTTTCGTACGTGCCAACTTGAGCGACCCGTCAAATCAAAACGTGTTAAACTTTTGGAAATGTCATCGTAGACCTCTCCAATAATTGCCGATATGAGCTTTAAATAACGTCTAATTACCATTTTATGGGCCCGTGTTTGGGTTTGGGCCATGGCCCATATACGACACTTGGATCAAACGACGTCGTTTAATGATTTTTCCTCTGAAACTAAATAATTATAACTCGACTGTATAATTTCTGCAGGACAACCGCGAAGCTATTGAATTTCGCGGATTATTCCGTTTACATCATAAAAAAAAGAAGCTTTAATCAGTTATGTATTTCAGAACATGATGGAGGGCATTCATGGTGAATCACGAAACTCCGGGTGCTGCTGCAACCATTCACGGATCGCGGAGCGAAGAGTGAGATTTGGGGTGAGATTTCGATTCCGGAGCCTGAGATTTGTTATGGGTGAAGCTTCGCCTCCATGCCTCAGCCATTCTCTCAACTCCTCTGCCTCATATGTGTAACCATCTGCTGCTACATGTGGGTCTCTCATGATCTCCTACATTTATTCACGAGCTTTCATCAAATTCGAATTTCTGAGTAAAAACAATGAACACAATCAAATTCGCTCGCGTTTCATCCAAAAAGCTTAGATCTTTTACGAGCTTTCAGGCATACTGCAATGGCAATCAGAGGAAGAAGGAAGGAGAAGATCCCTAACCTTTGAAATGGGGCAAAGGAAATATGAGGGAGGCTCGTCTGGAACAGGGGAAGACAATGAAGAGGGTGGCATTGACGAGGTGCCCTCCATGTTCAAATGTCTCAGAAGCTCTTCAGCTGTCTTGATAGCATCGTCTCGCTCTTTCTGGTAAGTTTCTATGATATGGGGACAATCCATGTTAAGCACTTCCTCCATCTCCATTTTCATCTTTTCAATTTCTTCTTTCGCTTTTGCTATTTCCCCTACTAATTCTCTCCTGAGCCTTAGTTCTCGATCGTATAGCAAGTGGGCATTACGGGCACTTGAAAGGGCTTCATCTCTTTCCAGTTCTGTCTTCTTATGCCCATCTCTTTCTCTCTGTAGAGCTTCCTCTGTTTCTCTCCTCTGTCTCAGCTCATCTTTATACAATCTTTCCAACTCTCGGACCTGCCCAAAGAACCCTTTTTTATGACACGTTGTACTCTGAAACATCCTACATGATGCCGCATTTCTTACAACAGAACGCATGTTTGAAGAAAGGGAAGCAGATCAGTTCTCTGTATTAGAAGCTAATCCTAATCCATGTCGGCTTTTACTTTACCCTGTCTGTTTCATGCCGTCCACTCCTCGTTCCCTCGTACGGTATCAATGAAGAAGCAAACCCCGTCTGACTGTATAAGGACTCGGCCGAGTCAGAGGATTCGGAGAACGAGTCCGGTGAATAAGCGCGGTCGAACCGTCCTTCCCTGGAATTGGCCGGCCAGCAGTTCTCTTTTTCAGTTTTTTATAACTTGACAACAAAAATCAGATGTGAATAGAACCTAAAGGCTCAAGCTTTTTCACCTGATCTGGATGAGGTTCCCATTGCAGATAAACCATATTTTGCAGTGATGAGGCACATGCTGGCTCACGTACTTGGCCTTCCTCGAAGTTATATGAGCCATTCCCCTACCAAAACAGATGTATATATAAGCAGCAGCTGGATCTGGAAATCGATGGTTAGAACGAATTTTCTCTGAGTCGTCCTTACTCGGAATACCGGGTATCGGCAGCAGCTCCCATGACGAGCTTCCTGACGTCGTTATCATAGATAAGTTCCACAATCCCTTCTCCGACATCTTCCATTGAAATACATGTTATGTCCACATCTTGCCCGTTCATCTGCGTGTAGAAACCACTTGATTCTGATTCTGATTCTGTAAATGGATTTGATCGGACAGAAGAAGATCACTTACCCCTTCGTTTTGGCAGAGGACACGGTACCAGTGGAGGCTCTCATATGTACCGTTGAGTTCCAGCTGCAGTATTCCATTGATCTCACTTTCTTCAAGCCCACTTGCTGAAAAACGAATATATATGAAAGGGAAAGGCGTTAATCTCTGTATCTGCAAGCGATTTCCGTTTTGGATCAAGAAAAAAAAAACAGATACTGTGAGATTCTTGATGGGGAAAGCATGGATTTTTCATAGGCGCAGCCATTGACGTCACTGACCCAAGATGAAGAATTGGGTTAAAGAGAAGCATATACTCACATGAAGCAGTCATATGAATTGGTTGATGAACATGAAGAAGGTAAAGCTTCTTCACCCGGAGATTCCTCAATACCCATAGCAAAGTCAACTCATTCTTTCCAGCGTCTTTCCCCACTGCCACGTAGACAGCATCTCCATCTGCACTCTCTCCCATGGATTGGATTTTACCCCTCTCTCTCTCTCTCTTATATTCTACAACAAAAACAACTCTCTCTCTTCTCTCTCTCTCTCTCTCTATCCCGATAGAGCAGACGACAATATGTATACAAATAGATGCAGACAGTTATGTAATGATTATATGCACACACATGGCATACAAAAACTAAATATATATGCATGCTGGTCCTTAGAATAATATTTTTAATGGAGATTCCGACCATTAAACCTTACTGGTCAAGGATTGGTCTTATTATAATATTCATGAAACCTCCAAGCACCGCAACTTAAACTTCACGGCCTTTTCTGAGAAGCTGTCAACAAATGATATGAAACCAAAACGGCGTCGTTTTTTCGCTCTTCCATAAAAACCATGCGGAAAGAGAGCAACACCTTGTCTGAAATCAGTAACACAGCATCGAACCAAGTAAACAGAACGTGTTAAGGAAGAAACTATATTGTTGAGAAAATAAACACTATTTACCATACATGGGGAACTCAGTCCGAGACTGAATTGCTTGTCTGAGGATGGCAAGAGACGGAACGGGTGTCCATGGCGGACTCTGCTCTGTAATCCTTGCGGATTCCCCACAGGATCTCATTGCATCTCTTCATGCTGGGTCGAGACCGTCTGTGGGGAGCTACGCACTGGAACGCCATCTCTAAAACCTTCTCCACTGCTAAGTTGTTCGCCGGATTGCGTTCCAGCTTCGGGTCCAGGATGGTTATTGCATCTCCATTCGTTAGAGAAGAGAATGGGCTCAAATATCACTTTAGAATACAAATATTAACACTTCAATCAGTATTCATTTGATTATTGTTTTTCGTTGGAACTTAATTAAATTTAATTATATTAGTTTTAAATTATGAGTTCTGTAATTAATTTATCGGTGATGACTGGGCTTTCATTAGTTACTGAGGTAGGAGAGTATGTGGGCCGTAAGGGCCATGGTCTTTTAATAAAATAATTATGGGCTTTATCACCTGCCAGGTTCTTTGCGTTTTTCTTCCCGCCACGCCCACGCCGCCGCGGGGAAAACTATTTTCAAATTTCTCTCTCTCTCTCTCTCTCTCTAAAATTCAAAAGTCGGTTCGATCTCTCCCTGCGGAGTTCTTCTGAGAGCATAGTCGTTTTCGATCTCTCCCTCTCTATTTCGAATTGGAGAACGATAACCTCCTTGTTTACGGGTTTGATCTGGATAATGAAGATGAACGTGAACAGATCCGGCGATCTGAATTCCATACAAGTATTTGCTCCTAATACAAGGTAAGATTTAGCGTCTCTCCCCCTTTTCGAAAGAAGACTATACGAACACACAGATGAAACAAAAAAAAAACAGCGGAATTTCAAGAAACCCTAAACAATAGAAACCTCCGCATTGCGTATTTCAAACTGCTGATTAACTCGACCGATAGTGAGTTCCTGCGACAGTTGTGGAACTCGTCTATTTCTATATCCTGGATCGATTGGGAATGATTCAAATGATTTTCTCATATTCCGTAAGAATCTGATAGTTTCTTGAGAAAATTTAGGTGGAAAATGTTACTCATCTGATGAAAATTTCGGGGGGAAATGTTACTCGTCCTTTAGTTTCCTGATGGGTGTTTTGTGGTATGTTGAAGGAGATCTGGTTCACAACAGGCATATGAGGAACTCGAGTAATGGAATGGAATGATTGAAACTTCATTGAACAGGTTTGGAATGTTGTTGGACTCCTTGCAGAGTGATATAATGCGAAGCCAACATACAGAAGTATGTCTAGAAAGTGAGTTATCTGATTGTTACCCTAGACACATACCAGACATATGAGGTGGGCAGACAAACAACTATTTGTAATTCCACTTTCTTATCACATTGAAATGCAAATCTATTCTCTGGTCAAGGATGTTTAAACATCTTACTCGAACATTATATTCGCAGTTTTATCGCTGATTGATATTGTGTCTCCAATAGGTTTTTTGAATGATTGAAGATTATTCCATTTGAAGAGTTTATATTCTTTCATACACTGACGCTTGATTCCTCCACATTTTTTGTCAAGGCCTCTCTGGTTTCTTGAGTTGAATTTCTGGTTTCTTGAATTCCTTGCAGCTGAATGTATACGGCAAAAGTTGATTCTCCATGACACTTCACTTCAGCATCTGGTAAATGGAATCATCTGCAAGTTTTTCTCGTTTCTGCAACTCATTTATGCATCGAACTTTTCGACATGTTTGACGTGTGAGAGCCATACAGAATTCTTGAACCTATTTGGCATCTAAGTACCAGAGAGTCTGCAATTTAACTGCAGACTTATCAGCTTAATTCCTAAACTTATTGGCCTGTCTAGAACCATATATCTTACAGGCGTTGACTAACTTGAAGATTCTTGATCCAAGACGAATTTCAGCAGCACCTCAATTAAGGCCTTTTGTTCTGAAGTATCATTCTCCCAAGCGCTTGAACCTAGTGGGAGTATAAGTGTCAAGAGAGTGTACAATTTAACTGCAGTCTTATCAGCTTAATTTTTAACGTATTGGCAGGTGTGATGCTTCAATCTCTAGAGCCTTATTCCTTACAGGCTTTGGCCAGCTTGAAGATGGCTGATCCAAGAATTCACATTTTCACAACATCTCAAGTAAAAGCCTCGTTCTGCTCTCCATGGCCTTTAACTACTACTCCCAAAAGGTACAACTTTCAGTAACCAAAATGGCCTTTATTCACTTGCAGACTAAGGAGAGCTTGCCCGAGCGGCGGGTCCAGTGGTCAAGGTTCTTCAATTGCACTAACGCATACATACTCTAGCCCACATATTAATTTTGTTCACTCGATGGCAAGTGAATTGTCTTAGCTTGTCGAAGACAGTATATTTGCAGAAGAAGAATGCCTCATCTACCACTACGTCGAATCAGAGAAAAACTCAGCTGTCCCGAAAGTACGTTGCATTTGTCACTATTTCGTTTCTGATACAGAAAATAAGACCCTATAATAATGACCCTGTGCATATTATTCTTAAAGCTTTTTTTTTTTTTGCATTTACAGTCCATTTAACTCATCAACTGGATCTGTAAAAACATGTTTATCTCCACAGATACAAGCGGGATGTTGAAAGTCAGTGATTTATACAAGCGGGATGTTAACCTCTGACGTAAGAACTAAACATATACATGTATATATATATATATATCAAATATGTATATTTTATAAATGTTCAGTCTCTACAGGTCAGGCTCTCCTAACTCGTAATTTGATATGAAGAGCAATAACATAAAATTTTAATTTTTGAATTAAAGCAATAAAAAGCTATTATTTTTTTGTTTTCAAAACGTTGAGCTTCCCAGATCTAAGCTCTGTTGTCGGAGGGATGGGCTTTGGCGGTCCGACAATAAAGGACCGGGAGGAGCAATCACCCAAGCTGAGCAAATTATAGGCCAACACGTGTCGACCGGTTGCCTCTGGGCCCTGGTACGCTCTTATATTTGTTCATTTTTTCATATGCCGTGTATGAGATGAGAGAGACTACGATTAGATTGGCATCTTAGAGATATTAACCCGTCTGGGGTTAACACATAAATCACTAAAAAATCAGGGGTCTGGACCCAATCTCCCACTAACCCAGGCTCTACTATGGTCCATCTGTCATTTTCACGACCCACTAAAGCATCCCACTTTCCTGTTTAGAACAAAAAAAAAAAAAATAAAGCCATAGAAATTATGTGTGCGTGAAGCGATGTTAGCGAACGGAATAGAAAGTTCTTTTAACCATATATTTTTATTTGTTTATTGTTCAAGCACAATGATTAGGTGGAGAGAGTGTGTGCTTATCTGGTAAAATAAGTCTGTCTTCCGCTTTATTCTTTAAACAAATACGGATTAGTTTTGGCTTTTTGGCCTAACTTGGTTTAGAATTCCAAAACCCTTGTGCAGAGAGCAACATTATTGTCTTTATCCACTTGCTTCGTCATAAATCTACCTTTAATTCCATTTTTCAATGATTCTGATGTCTAGGTGAAGCATTTAGGTAAAGACCCAACCATGAGTGTGACACCCGAATCCCGCATCCCGTATACAGGATATGCCACATGGACAAATACCGATAAAATATAATAAATCCAAAAACACGGGAAATTAAAAATCATTTTTACATAAAAGTACGCAGCGGAATAAAACCATCACACGTTTCTTGGAAACCACACTTGTCCAAACACACAATTAAACACACCATTCCACACAAATCCTTGTTCCACAAACCTAAACGTACAAAAACAGGATTAATTAGCCGTACATAAATGATGTCTTCACAAGTTGTCGTCGTCCACTATGCGCTACTCGTGCTCCTCGGGATCTGAAAAAAATTCAACAACGGAGGGCTAAGCAAAAGCTTAGTGAGCAGCTCGGGTTAAGCCCGGAGAGCCCATTCTCATGGAGAACGGTGCCGACTGGTCTCTCAATACAAGAATTCATTTTTATCCATTTAACCCTTTATCATTTATCTTCCTTGATACATTACCATTATTTCACACATTTTTCGATACCTGATAGTACTGACTCAAGTCGTCCACCGGCACTATCAGGTACCGTTCCTTTCGGTATCATCTAGTACTGACTCAATTCGTCTACCGGTACTAGACTTTACCCTGCTTCCCTATAATAGTACTGACTCCACGCCGTCAACCGGTACTATCATAAAGACGACCACTCAGATCCACCAGTACTGACTCCACGCCGTCAACCGGTACTGGCTTCACTATACATTTCCATTCCAAATCCATAAAAATAATTTGCTATAAAAATTTAAAATGCTTTATACTTACATATTTTATATATATATATATATATATATATATTCAAGAAATATTTTGTATATATTGAGATTTAGAGTATTTAATCTTTTGAATATTAAAAATTATTATGTTTAATTTTTGAATTTTGAACTTTCAATATATTTGTATATAATAGATTATGATTATATTTGTAATTGAATTGATTTAAAATATTTAAATTATGAATTCTAAATTGTGAATAACATTTATATTAAATAACTTATATATTTTCTTTTATATTTAAAATTGTTATTTAAATTTGAATTTAATTTTTATAAATTTTATGTCGGATACGGATATTCGTAAATATCCGCGATATTTACGGATATCCGAAATTTCGGATATCCGTAAATTACAGATTGGATACGGATAATAAAATCGAGTATTTGTGCGGATCGGATACGGATACAGATATCTCAAAAATCACGGATATCCGATCCGTGCCCACCCCTATGTGAATCTCTCTATTTATAACCGAAAAAATCAGGTCAATGTGAATTCGAAACCCTCGAGCCGAATGCAGACTCGGATCTACGAGACCGGACCGATTGACACCTGGCATGTGAGATTTCTCAACGGTGTCGTTTTGTAGTGGATTATTTTTTTTTTTAAAAAATTATTCTCAGAAACCCAAAAGCTCTACTTAATGGGCTTATATGAATTCGTCTAATTCAGAAAGCCTAATTACTATATGTTTTGCATCCCAAAAGCCTATAATATTGGATTACGAGACGGTGTCGTTCGGTTTGATTCCTTTGCTAGTAAGCCCAAAAGCCTTATTCCTTAATGGGCTATTTAACATGCTGCCTATTTTGAAAGCCCGACAACATGAAAACTAAAGAGCAGCCAATAAGAAGTCAACACGTGTCACAATCTCCACGTAAGCCAACAAGGCGCGAAATGTTCCCGCCAAAAACAACGAGCCTTAAGTGGACAGATTTAAAGGGAACACAGTACCATGATTTCGCCGTCGCGTTCTTAGAGAGAGAAAGATAGAGAGAGAGAGAGAGAGAGAGTGGGGAAAATGGCGGGAGAGGGTGCCGACAATCAGCCATCGTCGCCGGATTCGCCGACATCGGCGGGGTTCAACACCGACCAGCTTCCGTTCAGTACCAGTCAGAACTCTGACAACTTCTCCGATGAGGAAGCCGCTGTGGATCCGCAGATTATCAGGGACGATCCCGAGGAGGCGGAGGAAGAAGAGGAAGGAGAAGATCTCTTCAACGACAATTACATCGAGTACGCGCTTGTGTCTTTTATACTGGTAGTTTAATTTCCTGTTGTTCATTACTTAGGGTTTGTGTTCTCGAAATGGCAGTGATTATCGACAGATGAACGAGCAAGATCAGTATGAATCGTTGGGGCTCGATGATTCGATGGAAGATGAGAGGGACTTGGATCAAATTATGCAGGATCGTCAGGCGGCGGAAGCAGAACTTGATGCTCGGGAAACTCGTGTCTCCGGTCGCAAGCTTCCCCATCTTCTTCACGACAATGGTAAGTGATCCTGATGTCTTCACGTTGGAATTCGAATTCAGTAATATCCATGGTCACTTCGATTGAGTGATAGCAATGAATCCTATGGATTTGACCATTTGTGAAGAACTCTGAACCCTAATTGATCCGCCGGTTTAATCAAATGCACGCTAAGTCGGAACTAATTAGATTTCATTGTTAAGCGGACTTACAATGTAGAATTCTCAAGAAAGCTATGTTAAATTTAGGGAAGTATTAATACTTATTCCGTTGACATTCTTTAAAAAATCATGGGGCAGCTTAATCCATGTGTTGTCTAACCTCTTGCGTTTGAAAATGATAAGACACCAAAATTCCTGATCTCTTAAATGCTGTAATGGCTTTGTTCAGCATATTGAGCCTAGACTCCGAATTTGGGCTACACATTTTGAGTTGGTTTAATGTCCGGAAATTTCATTCTAGCCAAAAGTTACCATTTTTCTAAGTGATGAAAGCCAAGCCCTTTTTCTACAGACTCCGATGATTGGAACTATAGACCTTCAAAGAGGTCTCGGGCTGATTTCAGACCCCCCGTTGCACCTAGAGGCAATGGTGATCCTGATGGAACTCCAAGTTCGCCTGGAGGATCTCAGCCGGGGTCAAGAGATGATATTCCAATGACCGACCAAACTGATGATTACCCAGATGAGGTTTGGTCTTTCCATGTTATCCAACATAGATGGCTAAGGTGTTCGTTGAAGTGACAATATGTTGCAATTGCTATACTCTATAATTGATGTTCTCCTGTAATACAGGATGAAGATGACGATGAAGCTGAGTTTGAGATGTATCGGGTCCAAGGAACTTTGAGGGAATGGGTTACCAGAGATGAAGTGCGCCGCTTTATTGCTAGGAAGTTCAAAGACTTCTTACTTACATATGTGAAACAAAAGAAACGGGAAGAAGACGAGGAATATGTTGAATATGTTCGTCTAATAAACGAAATGGTTGCAGGTATTTCTTTTAAACGTGAACAAAAGGTTCTCAATGTTTTCAAACTTTAAAAGCATTAGCTGTAAGTGCCTCTAAGTTTCTGGTATGGCTTGAACTAATTTATATTCACACAAATGTGTACTTGCAGCCAATACATGCAGTTTGGAAATTGATTATAAGCAATTCATTTTTGTGCATCCCAATATTGCTATCTGGCTGGCGGATGCCCCGCAACCTGTTCTCGAAGTCATGGAAGAAGTTACTGAAAAGGTTGTCTTTGAACTGCATCCGAACTACAAGAACATCCACCAAAAGATTTATGTCCGTATCACTAACTTACCTGTCCATGATCAGATCCGAAACATAAGGTAACAGCTGAATATTAATGGCATGTGCCAATATTGTGAATTCTTTTACTAAGATTCCCTCATAACCTCTTTACTGGGGAATTGTCAGGCAGATCCATCTTAACACAATGATCCGCATTGGTGGAGTTGTGACCAGACGTTCTGGGGTCTTTCCCCAGTTGCAGCAAGTGAAATATGATTGCAACAAATGCGGGGCAATTTTAGGCCCATTCTTCCAAAACTCGTATTCTGAAGTTAAGGTTGGCTCTTGCCCGGAATGCCAATCAAAAGGACCATTTACTGTTAACGTTGAACAGGTAAAATATGTGTTCTTCCTGTCATTTTCATTTAACTAAATAGACTTCAGTGAAATCTGAGTAGCATGAAAGAGCTGCTGCATTTTGTTGTGAAGCTCATTTTATTGGCTGCTTTTCATGTTTCAGACAATATACAGGAACTATCAGAAGCTAACAATCCAAGAAAGTCCAGGAACAGTGCCTGCTGGACGTCTTCCGAGATACAAAGAAGTGATTCTGCTGAATGACCTCATTGATTGTGCTCGCCCTGGGGAAGAAATTGTACGTTCCTCAGCTTTTGTCACCTTATCCTTTTTATCTAATAGAAATACACATCATGGGTGTGTATATATATTTGAAATTGCCTCTCATGAAATATTTTTCAGGAGGTAACTGGCATATACACCAACAATTTTGACCTCTCTTTGAACACGAAGAACGGGTTTCCTGTCTTTGCTACTGTGGTTGAAGCCAACTACGTCACGAAGAAGCAAGATCTCTTCTCTGCATACAAGCTTACCCATGAAGACAAAGTAGAAATCGAAAACCTAGCTAAGGACCCACGTATAGCAGAACGGGTATGCTGTACTGAAGTTGTTTTAATTACATTACTGCTATGTCTCAAGTAACATTCTGATGTATTTCTTTCACTCTCTCCATCAGATCATTAAGTCAATTGCTCCGTCCATCTATGGCCATGAGGACATCAAAACAGCAATAACACTCGCTATGTTTGGCGGCCAAGAGAAAAACGTGAAAGGGAAACACAGACTGCGTGGAGATATAAATGTACTTCTACTCGGAGATCCAGGAACAGCAAAATCACAATTTCTTAAGTAAGAATGTTCCTTGTCAACTGATATGGTCAACAACATGTGGCGATGATTCATCAGTTAATTGTGAAAATGTTTTTGCTTAGATATGTTGAGAAGACTGGTCAGAGAGCTGTCTACACGACCGGGAAGGGAGCTTCTGCTGTTGGGCTGACAGCAGCTGTGCACAAAGATCCAGTTACAAGGGAGTGGACACTTGAGGGAGGCGCTCTTGTTTTGGCTGATAGAGGAATTTGTCTTATCGATGAGTTTGATAAGATGAATGACCAAGACAGGTATAACATACTGTTATTGCAGATAAGGCATCTTATTGCTAAAGTGACCTGAAGAAATGATGTTGACAGAATTTTAAAATTTGAATTCAGAGTAAGTATTCATGAAGCCATGGAACAGCAGAGCATTAGTATATCAAAAGCAGGAATTGTTACTTCTCTCCAAGCTCGTTGCTCTGTTATTGCTGCAGCTAACCCGATAGGTGGAAGGTATACAAGCAATTAAAAAATCCAAACCTGCTGAA